CAATAATCTCAGAACAATGTGCCCTCCGGGAGCCCTCCTTCCCCCCACTTTCACCCTTTGTCCAGTGCGGCGTGATCTCTGCCCCCACCACCACCCCAAGAAACTGCTTAGGAGAAAGTTATCCATGGGCTGCCCTGAAAGACAACAAATGCATTTCCATTCCTACTTCTTTTGGTATTTCCTTCTCCCTGCTCCAGTGCCTTAAGTATTTCCAGGGATCTATTCTCACCCCCCTTTTCCCTCTGGAGTCTCACCCAACTGACTCCCAAAGCCCTAGCTAATGACGAATCAGTATCCAACCAACCATCTCTCACAACCTCCACTGCTTTCCCCCTGGGCCAAGGCATCGTCTACTCTTGCCTGGTTACTGCAGTAGCCTCCTAACTGGTCTCCCAACTTCCATACTCACTCCTCCTGGTGTTAAAACCTAAGCCAGACCATGCGTCTGTGCAGAACATTTCTATGACTTCCCTTTGGACCAAGTCCGTACAATGCCCCACAAGGCCCTGCATGATTGTCTCCAGCCCCTACTTCTCTGACCTTATTTCCCACAATGGCCCCTTCCTCACCCCTCTCCAGCCACAGCAGCCTCTATGGGTTCCACAAACACACTAAGCACACACCTGCCTTAGGGCCTTTGCACTTGCCTGGAATGCTTTTCCCTCCAATAAGCACAGAGCTCACTCAGTGGCTTCAGGTCTTCCTCAAATGCTGCCTTATCAGAGCCAGCCCTGACCACCTTATTTAAAGGGGTAACCACTCCTGCTCTCTCTATCCCCTTACCACTTAGCACCAGCTGACAGCAATACATGCTTATTTGTTGTCTGCCTCCCGTCCCCCTGCACACACACTATAATGTAAACTTTATGAACACAAGGACTTTGTCTCATTTACCAATGAATTCCTGGTGCCTAGATCAATGCCTGGCACATAGTAAGTGCTGAAGAAAGAAAATCTTAAGGAATAAAATGAAATGAGTTTCAAATCTCTATCTTCAGTTCAAATTTTTCTTCTGGACTCCAGATCTGTACTTTAATACACCTCCTTACCACTCTGCCCTCCAGGCACCACACACCCAATTCACTAGGTCTACCCTCCTTTAATTCGCTCAGCTTCTTTTGTTGTTGCTAATTGTGGGGAACCAATATAGGGTTGAGCCTCGGACTGACCTGCTGGCAAAGTCACAAACAAGTCCCAGCTTAGAGGGCTCAGTCCTCTTAGCATAATTAGGCTTGACCTTATAACACTCCCCAGATCTTACCTGGGAAGCTAATGGGCTGAGGGAAGTGCAGAGTGTAATTATGGTCAAAACAGGTGAAACTCACAAGAACTGTGTAACTATGGTAACCACTGCCTTGTTTACCTCTGACTATAAAAGGTCTGTGCAGCCTGAGCACAGGTGGAAGTCCTTCCTCTTGAGTTGGACTTACCCGCCTGGCCCCCAATATTCCCGAATTATCTCGTGTCTTTTCTCTTTCATTTGTGTGCGGCTCCTCTTCCAGATCCTGAACCCTGAACCACGCAGGACGTGGAGGGAAACATTTACAACACTAATCCTAACCCGAGGATCTTTTTCCATTGATAGTTAGAGAGAGTGGAAAGGAAGAGGTGTGACAGAGAAAGAAACATTGATGAGACACACACATCGATCCGTTGCCTCCCACATTCGCCCTGACCAGGACTGGGGATCATGCCTGCAACTGAGGTATGTGCCCTTGACCGGAATAAACCCAGGACCCTTCAGTCCACAAGCTGATGCTCTATCCACTAACCCAAACTAGCTAGGGCTGTCCTGCTTCTTGAATTCTCCCCCAGTGGGTGGCATCAGCTAGAAGGAGTCAGCCTTGACCTCTTCTTCACCTCCCCCAGTCACAAATCCTGACAGTTCTACCACTTAAATCTAACCCAGGCCCTCTCCTCCTCAATTCCCTCAGCTGGACACTACAATAGATTTCTAAATGCTTACCCACTTGTGGCCATTCTGCCCACTCAGATCAAAGCAGGCTCTTGCGTATAGCCCTCCCATGGCTCCCCAGAGCCTACAGATAAGGCTCAAACCTCTCGGCTTCCCCATCCAGTTCTACATAACACCCTCTGCTGCCACTGTTACGCTTACCGACCTGCTGTTCCCCAAACATGCCAAGCCAGCTTCAGCCAACAAGTTTGCATAGCTGTTCCCTCTAACTGGCATGCCCTTTCCCCACACCTTCCTGGAGATCTGTTCATCTTTCAGATGGCAAGGAGGTTACTTCCGTAATGATCTTCTTTAACTGCTCTCTAGGGCAGTGATGGCGAACCTTTTGAGCTCAGCGTGTCAGCATTTTTAAAAACCCTAACTTAACTCTGGTGCTGTGTCACATATAGAAATTTTTTGACATTTGCAACCATAGTAAAACAAAGATTTATATTTTTGATATTTATTTTATATATTTAAATGCCATTTAACAAAGAAAAATCAACCAAAAAAATGAGTTCGTGTGTCACCTCTGACACGCGTGTCATAGGTTCGCCATCACTGCTCTAGGGGAATGCCCACCTTGTTCCCCCTTTGTGTACAACTCTATTCTAGTTTTGCCCTGGCCAGGGTGGCTTAGTTGGTCCCATGCAACAAGAGGTCTCTGGTTCAATTCCCAGTCAGGGCACATGCCCAGGTTGTGGGCTCCACCCCCATAGGGGGCATGCAGGAGGCAGCCTAACGATGTCTGTCTGTCTGTCTGTCTGTCTGTCTCTCTCTCTCTCTCTCATCAATAAAAACATACTTTTTAAAAAAGAAATAGCAACTCTATTCTAGTTTTAACACACTTTTCTGTAATTGCCAGGTTACACATCGGTCTCCCTCCCTAAGATGTGAATAACTTGGAGATGGGGTTGGTCTCGGCCCTCTTTGTAACCCCAAGTCAGGATGCATCCAACCAGTGTTGGATTGATGTGTGGACAGATAAATGAAGTCCCCAACTTCCTGCGCCTAACAGACTGCTTTGTAAGGTGTTGAACTCCCCATCAACGCTGGGATAGTCAAAAAGCAGCTGCATGGTCCCGAATGGAGTGTCCAAGTAATTTTCCCCAGTTCTAAATCCCTTTCCTCCCATTCCACAGTCCTTCGCTACTTCCTAGGGAGCCTCGGGCTGTGAGACAACACTTAGCCAGACACGCCCGCGCCAGGCTGCCCCTGGCTTCTAAGCCAGGTCTCCATTATCCAGCAACTTCGCCTCGCTCTGCCTCCGTCCTCGGCCTAGACTAGACTCTATTGAAAACCCACCCGTCTCTAAGTTTCTCGGAGTCCCTTGGCCCCAAGCATAGCAGTGTCCTCCCAGAGCCCCGCCCTCAGACCTCGTCCACCCACTCCCCGCCCCTCGGGTCCTTCCCCCCCGCCCCCAATTCCCTCCTCTGCAAATCCCATCTCCACCTGCTTCCTTGACCCCGTAGCCCCCGCCCCTTCGGTTCCCACCACCACCCACTCTTTCCTCGCAGGCCACCAGTAGCACTCCCCTCCGTATCGCCAGCGGACCTCCGCCTCCACCTGTACAGCGTCTTGCGCGGGTGCCGAGGTGGGTCCTCACTCAAGCCCTTGCGCCGATGTAGTAATCTGCCACGAGGCCCAACGATGCGTGCGCCAGAAGAGCACACGACTTGTAGCTATAGTCCTCGCTAATCTAGGACGAAGGGACCGTGAGCAGGCGAAGGCCCGAAAGGTCCC